ATAACACCTATACTAACCCTTCAGTTTAAACTTTCCTCCACAATTGCTTCACGATGCCAGACTGAGACTTGTGTCCAATACCTGTTTTAACTATAGTGTGGGCTCCTTAATATGTGGCAAGTAGAAAATAATCACAGGTACTGGGCCTTACAGGCCCGGGGAAAAGGGACTGCGAATAGATCAAGATTAGTGGGGTAAGGGTCACGACATGCATATTAGTAACAATCAAACCTATCATATGATAGTATATTTGAGAATAATTAGTTCCATCATCAACAACATCAAAAGTGCCATCTCCTGATTTATAATCTCAAGAAAGGGTATTCATGTAACTTCAGAAGTTTCTGAGAAAACATGTCCCCATTTCACGCAGTGTGCACTAAGTTGAAAAGCACGCAGCCAAATTATTTATGACACCAATTTTCGAACCCTTTCAAGATCATGACCAGTAACAACAGTGTGTAAAATTTCATTTCTCCAACTTTAATAGTTTTTGAGAAACTTTGTCCCCATGGAAAAACTGACAAAAAGACGGGAGGTCTTACGGAATGGCAGACGGACGAACTCCGTTTCTGTATCCCCTGTTTCTGAAAACATGCCCCCATTTCACGCAGCGTGTACTGAGTTGAAAAGGACTGACGGAAAGAAGGACTGACGGAAGCAAGGAAGGATGGACGAACTCCGTTTCTGTATCCACTGCCCCAATAATGCCCAATGTAGTTCGACCATGCAGTAGCTACCATTATAACAAGTTATTAACAATTCCGTTTTCGTGACATCTATTTTGGAAAAGAGAGAAGTACCAGTCTCGATTACCTGTCGAAACAGATTCCATTGTCCGAAAATGCAAAATAAAGGTGATCTATCATATGAATAGATCACTGAAAATCAGTGATGACACTAGCTGTTTGTGAAAAGGGTAAGCTTGAAACTGTGTTTACACATCAGCTGATGAAATGGTACCTTTTATGTTCTTGAATTATATATTTTGTTTATATTTTTGCAATTCCAAGGCAACACGTTCAAATAAGGATGTTTTATATTACGGTCGCAGTGACTAACCCTTTTCTGAATGTAGTGAAACATTGTGTAAAGTAACTTTAACTGATGTATTGCAACAGTATGTACAATAGTACGTTCATTCTTGCAGATATAGAGTCGTTATAGCTTAGTTACTTGTTTCATTGTTGTTAATCCTTCTTTAGTCAGTATTTGTTCAGAAAATTAATGGAAACGCTGATAACATCTTTCGTGAAGTGGCTGTCTTTGTTGACATTTAAAAAAGGTAAATATATATCCAGGTGAACTACAATCCTGACACTTTCATTATATCTCCATGAAACTTTGAAAATGCATTAGGCTTATGTTATCGTTTTCACAGAAATTATATATATTTACACTTTTAAGCATACAAGTGACTCGATCTTCCTGTTTACTTAGACTTTCGTGTTGCAAACTGAGGTGACCTCTGTATCCTACTTAGAGAACTTGAGGGAAACCATTTACTCGTATGACCATCAAGATGACCTTGACACAAGCATGACATGTGATAGCTGTAAGGTAGTGTCGCGTTGAGTCGGTCATAAACTGATTGGGTATCACCTGTACTAAGTTTCGTCATAAGCCTATACCTTCCTTAGAGATAAATAGAAGGTATTATCTGGGCATGTCTAACGCAATACTCCAACAATTCAGTGGCGTTTGACACAGAATCATAACAGACTTATATAATATACGTACATTCAGGTCAATTCATTTTGAAGGTTTGTATTGAATTTACAAATCAAATAAACCAAGAGGCAACGTGTGAAATATAATCAACAACAAAAGTTCCTGTGGCACCAATATTTTAGTGTATTTTTCAAACAAGTAAAGTTTGGTTTTCAATATTGTACATGTAGTACATGTATGGAATCAAGTCACAAAAACACAACTGCTACAGAAAAGCATGCATTCTATGCAAAAGTTTACTTTTATGCAACCCCGTGCATTTCACTACCCAAGAATGGGTATAAAAAAGTGTGCGTTAACGGGATTACATATGCGTTCTTTAGCATCGTGCTGAAAAACAAAATTACGCAATTATTCAACATTACGAAATGCCACGCCTGTCCGAAAATGAGCGGCTGCGAGCCATTGGTATGCTTGAAGCAGGATCGAGTCAACGTGATGTTGCAAGACAATTTAACGTCCACAGAAACACCATTTGGTGTTTATGGCAACGTTGGCAACAGACGAATGCAGTCCATCCTCAAAATGACAGGCCACGCGTAACCAATAACCGACAAGACAACTGGATTCGAACAACACTTCACAGACCGTACGTCGTCGCCTCTGATGTGCAGGGATTGTCGTCAGAAGACCCGCCAGACGTCCCATTTTGACAGGAAAGCACCGTCAAGCACGATCTACAGTGCTGCAGACAGCGTCTACGCTGGACAGTCATGCAGTGGGGACAAGTTCTATTCACTGACGAGTCTCGTTTTCACCTCAGCCACAGTGATGGGCGGATTCGAGTGTACCGAACGTTACGTCAATAATTGTGTCATGGAAGAAGATCGGTTTCGGGGGCGGCAGCGTTATAGTATGGGATGGGATTACAGCAAGACAGAGGACCCGTTTGATAGTGGTAGAGGGAAATCTCAATGGACAGCGCTACCGCGACGAGATCATCGCCCCTGTTGTTCTACCGTTTTTGCGTCGTCGTGGCCCAGGCATTACCTTTCAACATGACAACGCCCGGCCTCATATTGCTCGATTTGTTTAGGATTCTCTTCAACAAAACAACGTGAATGTCATCCCCTGGCCGGCTCGCTCCCCTGACCTCTAACCAATGGAGCACATGTGGGATGAGATGGATCGGCGCCTTCGACGTCAACCACGTCTTCCATAGACACTCCAGGAACTTTGAAACATGCTCCAGCAGATATGGACAGATATCACACAGGATTTTGTGCGACGCCTGGTCCATTCCATGAGACGAAGATGTGTTGCTTGCACCGCAACCAGAGGTGGACTCACACGCTATTGATTTGTAAATTGACATTTTGGCATGTTCATGTTTTTTATTAAATCACGCATTTTGTGAAGTCAGTTTGGCAAATATAACCATTTGAACACTTACATGAGTCTTTTATCTGTTGCAAACCGAAATTGCTTCATATTTGGTAAAAAACATAACTTTGCATTAAATCTTATTCAATGTCACAGGAACTTTTGTTGTTTAGTATAGTATAAACAGTTTATGAATACCGCACCTCCACATTTTACACCACAAAGGGACGCTAACTTTAAAAACAGATTATTAGCCGGGGTACTATCTGCCGTTAACGCAGAGCTGCAGCCATTTCGATTGTTATTTTAGAAACATCTCGGTATCCACTTCATTCTTCTTCACCCTTGGTCACAGGTATACCAAATTATACCAAATATGATACATTGCGACATATATCAACAGCATCTCTGCCACTAACAGCATCAAGCCATTGCCACCTTCATTTCCGGTGTCCCTCTGATCAGATGGGCCGTATTTGACAGGTGTCAGCGACTTCAGCTGAACACATTTCGTATTGCTCTAGCACACTATATGCAGACATACTCTTTTCAGTATAAGTTCTGTTCAAGGACCACTAACCTAACTGTCTCGCGCATAGTTCGTCACACAAGTCCAGTTTGGCACACCCGAGCGACTGATTTGTAACTAATTTGTAATTAGTATGATTATTTAACATGAGCGATGATTTTCTTGAAGAACCAATATACCCTTTAGCTTGGGACAGTTCATACCCTTTATAGAACTGCTTTTGTTAGTTTGTGTTTTGTTAATCAAGACAGTAACCAGTGATCGATATTGTGAGCTGCCAATAATAGCCTGACAACCCAATCCATTTAGCCGCCTCTTACGACAAGCATAGATTGCCGGATACCTCTATCTGGGGACAAGTTTGATTTTTGATACAACTGCTCAGAGAACTTCATATCATATAACAGAGACGGCAGTTGTGCAATTTATGCCGAACATGTAAAACAACTACCGTATTCTAGGGCTATAGTTTGAACATTATTTTTAATGGCATTGAAATATAATAAAGATTTCGAAACCTCTTGCTTATCACTTTTGCCATGTCATTGTAGTGTTTTTGTATTCCATAATCCCTTTAGATGCATTCAGTGTGAATATGAAGATATCCACCTGCAATATATGCAACTGAATGGATACTGAAAACAATATATTTTCTTCAATGTATTTACATATTCCTTTTTACACATATCCTTTGATATTCATACATTACTTCAAAATTCGTCGTGGCTGGCCCTTCTGTTCATCTGTCCGGCACTCCCAAAGGAGTTACAACCTTGAGCATAACATGCAAACGGATATTATCCCCACCCTATAATAAACAGAAACATTGTATACATTCGTTTGTTAAGAAGAAAATAATACAGTTTTGACTATATGATTCGCCCTGGGGTCCAGCCATGACTCTGGAAACTGGAAACTAAGATCCTGGATCATAACATGGAAACGGTTCATTTGTATCTAGAAAAGTACACGTTCAAGCTGTCAGATTTGCCATCCACCCCTTTAAAATGCTGACAAAATTACGAAATATTTGCTGTATTTGCAAATGTACATTTTGTCATGATTGCGTAAATATCTAGCTGAGCCATACAGGCCCCATATGTCTCTTGTTAAACACACTCTTTACTTAGTTGAATGTGTTTCGTCATAGCCCGACAACGTGGATCCCTGCACATAATATCGATCGATGTTTGTCGATCACTTAACAGGCCGCCGTGATACAGCAGTAATATAAGTGCGGCGTTACATAAAACAATTAATCCTACACATATTCATCACCATTACTTTCAAAACGTGATAGTTTATAGTTGCTTTGTAAACGTTTTAACCAGAAAACAATTCAATAGCATGCACGTGTTGCTCTAAAGGAAAGACTACATATATAGGACCAATCTGAAACGCTGTCATCAGAAGATACCAGCGTTAACACGTGAGAAAATTTATCAGAAGAGACAAGGTAAGATGCAGCAAACGTTTTAAAGATAGATCGTGTTTATCTCGTATGTCGAATGATATCAGAGTGAAGGCGACCTTGTAGAATAGTTGTTTGTTTAGGAAAAAAAAGACACTGTGTTTTTCATTGAAGAGCTAGATAACATGTAGAAGTTTCCAAGCTAAATTGAATTTGAAATCGAACGTCAGTCGCGGAGTCTGGTGCCTCAACATGATTGTCACAGGTGACATTACATATTGAAACTACCAAGCGGTCAGATTTAATCATAAACGAAACAATTTTCCTTGCTATCAGCAAAACCATTGTCCACAACGAATTCGATATGACTGGAGGAACGAATAATGAAGATTCTGAAATTCCATGGTAAAGATGTGCTTTGTAACAGGTTATTTAAAATGAAGTTAATCTACTGTTTCATTTGTATTGTGAAAAGGCTTATATTGAGATATAATGTACTTCCCAGGAAATGACTGGCTGGTTTCTTTTACTCCTCGTCCTTGTACTGTCCTTGTACAGCGCTGGTAAGTTGTTAATTTCTGTGCACCTAGCTACATGTATAGCATGATGCATGTATTTTGTTTGTTTGTTGTATAATGCCACAGTCAAGCTATATCACGACGACTTAAAAAAACGACTACGGACCAGACACACCAGTGATTGTGGAGTGCCGTGTTAAACAACAAACATAACATTATATGAATGTTATGCTTTTTGTTTAACACGGCACTCCACAATATTCTCGCTATATTACGGGCTCCCACTAAAGAATTGAGGCCGGACCACCCAATCCATTTAGTCGCCTCCTACAGGCATATATTGCTTGGAACGAGTTATATTCAGAAATCCAAACATGGTCACTGATGATGTCCCAGTTTGTATACACCGCCAGAATTGGTATCCAGCAACCTATGCTGGTCTCGGGAGGTGACTTGATGGATAGGGTGATTAGGCGCGGAGAGACTAGGTCTTGGTTGATTGCGTATTACCATTCTCAAACGGCGTGAATCTTTGATCAAAGCGTCACTGGATTGTCTCGCACAGACCCGATTATTTGCAGGCAGCCATCAAAAAGCTAGTATGCGGACAGCACATACACACTTTAAATACCACCCCACTGATCCTGGGCTATGGTGCTCTTCCAGATCTGGGAAAGTAACATGTTGTCCCTTTGTGAGATAAATTTCACCCGTTTCCAAGCGACCGATGTCATGTTTCGTTCTGTTTCATTTAGTCCCAGCATGAGTTTGTTGTGCAACCACACAGATAAAGATAACGAAAACCCGGCACTTTATACCTGTGTTCATGTTCAGCAGATCGCACGTGTATGGGTTTTGGTTACTTGAAACTTGAATTACTTGAATCTGTAACTTGAAATTAGCTACTCGTTGGCGACTGTAACAATTGCGATACGTTTCGACCACAAAAATACATAGTATACATGATTCCTTGTGACTTCTTCATAATCTTGATGTCATTTCAGATGTTGCGGAAGGATACAGTCGGAAGGGATTTGTTTGTAAGAAAAGCGCAAATGGGCGTTCTGGTGACTGTGTGAAAGGTAAGTGCAGGACAATTTACTTGAAAGTTATCCTCCCTCATCACCAGTTAAATAACGTAGAAGGGGGACATAAAAACCAAGAACCTAAATTTTCAGCGGAAAATTAATGGGAAAATTCGTCATGAGACTTAGTATATTAAGTTTGTATCTAGCAAGTTGCGAACAATACATTTTCTACTAATGAGTGCGAGTGTAAGTGCAACGTAACACCGTTTTGAGTAGTATTTCAGTTATTTCATTTGAGCTCATGTCATGGCTGGTTTGTCCGTCATCCGTTGTAAACATTTCAAAGTGGATATCATGTGACGAGCAGTTTTCTGATTCACTACAAACGACAGTAGTCTGCATTTTACCAGCACTTTAATCACTTGCTGCCACTGACAATCACTACAATTAAACTTTCTGCAGACTCTTTTGCCACATTACAACCCAAATGTACTGAAGAGCTTGGAATCTGAAAATCAACATTGTTGCAACGTTGGTATACTCTTAGTTAGAAATGGCCGCCAAACATCCGATATTATTTTTACATTCTGATCATGCTCTTAAATTATCTCAAAATGCAATTATTTGCACTGAAAAACAGCATCATCTCGGAAACAACTGGAGCAATGAAATGAAGCCTGTCCCCATTATTGATACAATTCAAATTTGTTCAAGGTTTTGACATGGTTTTTGCACATGATTTGGGTGATGAGGTGATTTCCAAATGGAAACACAAAGGTCAACCAGAATTTAATTGTGTAATACAGTCAATAGTAACACACGATTAATGGAAAATAATTAATATTGAAATACACAGTTTTGTTTTAGGTTTACTATCAAAGAAGGCAATACAATGGGTCAAAATAGAGGCAACAGCAATAAGTTATATTTATGTGAGTGCACTTATTAAGTTTTAGAATTGTCACTGTCGATTGTCTTGAAACAGTCTCTGTACTTAAATCCGGAATAGTGTTGCCAGCAAGAAGTCGGTGGTTTCAGTCAGGTATCCCATCTACACAGCCATATCGTATTCGTCTTCGTGTCACCCTTATACAGGTACAACCAGTCTTCTAGGAACAGTCCCATCCCGAATTTCGCGAACAATTAAGCCTGCCATGTTTTTAAACTACCAGGGGCGGTAACTCTAAATTTCACTCACTCGCTGCCACCAGTAGTACTCGACATTTTATCAGCGCTTCTTCCATTTGCTGTCACTGACAATCACTACACATATACAGTTTCTACTGTCACATAACAACCCCCGTTTGTTGAAGAGATTGGAAACCCGAATTTCACAATACCTTGGTATATGTTTATTGGACTCCAATTATTCAATATTGTCTTGACATTTTTAGCAAGCTCATGCTTCATCTCAAAATACAATTACTTGCATTGAATACACCATCTCCTCGGGATCTGTGAAACAACTAGATTAGTAACACTGAATATTTAGTTTATTAAATGGCAAATACCTTATTCATCATTCACACACAAGCTCAAAGAAATATATTCATAAAGTAAGTGGGGGATGTATTACGCAGGGCATGGAGAGAGAAATGATCAGATACTAAATCCTTTTGTCACATTTGTATCATACAAGGTTTAATTAGTTTCATTCATTTTGACCGATAACAGTGACCGTGCTAAGGTCACATGAGAAAGTTTACGCTGATATTTTTTTCAATTTAAAATAACAAGCAAGTTATACGCATCAAATTCGCTTTGCATTCTACATTTGTTATTAAGGGCATTACACAACTGAGCTAAATCTATTTGTTGTGTACATAGAGATGACCGATAGATCGGGTTCTCTTGGCCAGTGCCTTTCAATGTGAAGCACCAGACCACTTTCGACTTTCAATTTGACATAATGCTAAAAGTTCAGGCTGACCAAATTAACTCAGTTCATAATAGTTTTGAGACATACCTATGCTCACGTGTGATGATGCAGCTCTTCCATCAATGTCCCTTTCGGCCTTTTCCCAAAGTGTTTCTTTATGATTGAAGGTACACTACTGCTCGATCAGATAAGTCAAACTGAGCATTTCAAATACAACGTGTTTGACAACTTTGTGGAAGTGCTCCTGACTTCTGATTTTGTGTCCCAAAACGTTCAAACTGTGAACAATAACATTGATGTCTCGTGTAAAATGCTGTGTATTGATCACGGTCGTTTCTCATTCTGATGGTGACCTTGTCGTTTCTTTGACGCTGTCACTGTCACAATATCCATGCAGGCTCGAGCTGTTATTATCAGTTCTTCAGTTCTTTAGTTCTTCAGTACAGAGTCGTACAGTTATGAACTCCTTTGATGACTCGACTGTTTTCCATTTTTTCACAATGGATGTAAATTCGTCTGATAAATCAAAGAAACCGCCCCATGTTGATTACACTGCGACGAAAAACCAGCGCGGTTTGCCTATGTACTTGTTCGTACTGTTCTTCGTACTAACAGGGGACACAGGTGGCACAGTGGTCCAATTTGCCGCAATTTGCCATGCAGAGTTGCGTCTCTTCGGCACGCCAAAAGCCTAAGATCATGGGTTTGAAACCCATTTCACTCTTGTTATGTTTCTTGGTATGTCAACCGTGCTAATGAGTTTCACCAAAGTGTTAAACGTCTAAAACCTGCATAACTACGGGCTTTCCTTCCACATCAAGCCGGCACGCCGTGATATAACTGGAATACAGTTCAAAGCAGCATTAAACCGAACTCACTCATTCACTTGTACTAACAACTGTGCTTCTCAATATCCATTAGTTGAAGATGTTCCTGACCTTTCTTGAGTATAATATTGAACGTTGCTTGTTTGCACACACAATAGCAGGAACACCATATTAATAGACATGTCAACAGTGCCAACGTTTGGAACTATATCAGTATCATGCACAACCATATTTTCATATTGTTGGTCTGTTAAACGAACGGGTTATATGTTACAGACAACTCAACTATTGACTACTAGGATATTTACTGCAACGTAGCAATAGGACAATTATTGGCAGCACAACTTCCACTCTAGTACCTTAGTAGGTCTCTAATACATGCCGAGTTAAGGGCTCTCGCGAACTTAATAGACGGCATAGCGTCAAATACAGGAAATACGGTAGTTTGATATCGGATGTTTTGGGCGTTCTGGGCCTCAACCCTGACTGCTTCGATGATGAAAAGGCATATCTTGAAAGTCCATCAGAAAACACTCCCCTTCAACACGAAAACAATGTCCCAACTGAAGTGACAGCTTATCAAACTTGATAAAATTTATTTCAGAACAAAATCAGGAAAGTCATACACGACCCATGCAGATTCCTGGTTTCAAAATATCCAGCTCCGGCAGCCTAAAAAACTGCTGTTCAGTCATACTCAGTTACATTGCTAATCATATTGTGCCAGCAGGCTCGACCAATCCTAGTAAATCTACAGGTTAATGTTGAACATCATATAGATCGGGGTTGTAATCTTGTTTCATTGAGCTACGGAGAATGTACACACAAGATTGTCAGCCATTGACAGCTGTGAGGTGTGAGTTACCGTGATGTTGGACAATTTTTCGTCCACATCCAAGTTCGGGGTGGAGAGGCATTTATTTTGAATTTATTATTGTTTACTGGGGGGGGTGTTTTGAACACTTATTTTGAACAACTCACGACTATGGTGTTTTTAATGTTGAACTTTAGTAATAACTGTTACATATATAACTACCTGTGACCACTTTTCGGAATGTTCTAAGATTTAGCACCATTTTCAAGGCGCTGTTACTGTCATGGTAGAATGGAGATACATTTTATATAAAATTATAATAAAGAGGTATCTACTCTACAGTGGGACTACATCAAATTTCAAAACACTGTAGGTTCATCTCCTAAATAAATCGGCGCCAAATAGAATCTGGCCAAGTGCGGCGTTATACAATGAGTCATTTCATTACAACATATTTTTACCTATTTATTTTAAGGTTAACGTAAATCAGCTTCACTGGGTTTGAGATTCACAATGGGTTTGACGATGATATCACGTGATCTGGGATGTCGCTGCATGCCGAAATCATTCCATGTTGATGTATATCTTCATTATTTTTCCGGACGACCAGCACGAGGACCAGCACGAAGACCAGCACGAAGACCAGCACGAAGACCAGCACCACCAAAACCAAAAACAACAACGCCAGCACCAGCTGATCCATGCTCATCGAACCCATGTGCTAATGGAGGAACTTGTATTGCAAAAACACCGTTGACTCTCTTATGCAAATGTGCTGAAGGATTCTCAGGTGGCCATTGTAGAAGAGGCAAGTACCGTTCAATATTGATAGATAGTAATGCCCCACTCCAACACCAATTTCGGAAGTCACCTCACCTACATGATGTAACCCACAAAAACTAAGCCCAGAAATTCTTTGCTCGAGCATATGGAGTCTACATCTAATGGGTATACAATGTGTGAATCCATTTCTGGTGTCCCACGCCGTGATGTTGCTGGAATATTGCTAAAAGCGGCGTAAAACCAACTCACTCACTCTAATGAATATGCCTCTTCTGTGCGCATTTTCAGCAAAGATATGCCTACAAATCCGTGTAAATGAGAGATGGAGCTCTCGTTATTTTTAAGGAAATGCTTTGTTAGTTTGTTGTTTAATGCCGCGCTCAGGAAAATGCAGCTATTTGATGGCAGTCTGTAAATTATCGAGTCTGGAAATCCAGTGATTGATATCATGAGCATCGCTCCAAGCAATTGGGTTACGATGACATGCATCATTCAAGTTAGCGAGCCTGACCACCCTATTCCGTTAGCCGTCTCTTACCACAGGCATAGTCGCCTTTTGCGGCAAGAATGGGTTGCTGAAGACCTATTCTATGCAATTATGATACGATGACATGCATAAACCAAGGCAGCGACCCTGACAGCCAAATCTCGTTAGTCATAGCATTGATTGCTGAAAACAATTCTTACTCGGATCTTCACGGGGGTAATCAAAGGCAATTGATTGGAGATGTACAATTAATAAACTGGATAATCGGGGATGATGGAGGGATTATGAAGAGAAAAAACACATGCTTGGAGGTGAGCAACTTTATAGAAATGATATTGGAGTTTGAGTTATTATTGTCTTGATTATAAAGGCTGCAAAAGGTACACAATTTTACCTTCTCCAGATAATTTGCAATAAGAGGTTTTTCCTGTCATCTTTCAGCCGCAGACAAGTGCTTCAATCAACCTTGTATGAATGGAGGGATCTGTAAAAATAACCCGAATGGACGCACTTGTAGATGTTTGCTTGGATATGAAGGAGCTAATTGTGAACGAAGTAAGATCTTTCTTTTCTTTTCCACCACGTACCTTAAGGGAAAAGATGTTGCAGCAGCAATTTCCTGCTCATTTCTCAATGATCGTAATAGAATTTAGTCATATATTCACCAATCAAAATGAATCATGTTCACCTTAACTATCATGTGGTATTGGTCCACGAATATCACAAAATGAGTACATGTACCAGAGAAAATGCTGAGAGTTAACACTTCTAAAACCCTATGTTTTCAGAATGTCCACAGAAGAAACTGGATATTCTTCTTATCGAGGACGTATCTTCGTCTATCTCCAAAGACGCATACAGGCAGATAAAGGATTTTGAAGTCGAACTGCTCTCTTATGCCCGCATACAAAACAATATAATCAATGTGGCTTTCTTGGTGTATTCAGGAAAGGCTGAAGTGAACTTTTTGCTGAATTCGCACCCGGACAACAAAGAAGCCGCTATTCGAGATGTAAATGCTCAAAAACAAAAAGGTGGTTCCACCTTCCTCGGTGATGCTATCAACATGGCTTTATCTGATGTGTTTGTAGCGGAAAATGGCGACCGTCCAGACGCAGATAACATTGTTATCTTATTTACAGATGGTAAAAGTAGCAAAAAGTCAACCATATCAAGGAGCATAGGTCGTCTCCTTACAGAGGCAATGGTTTTTGTTGTTCCAACGTCATCAGACCTCGACCTGGAGGATATTAGCGCGGTAGCGTCACCTCCCGATGAAGAACATGTTTTCTCTTTGAGCAACTCTTTGGCACTTGATGAAATCAAGGAGAGAACCATCTATATGAAGTGTGGAGTAAATGTTGCATTAAAGGTATAAACACTGAAGATCTTTTGCAAAACCCTGATATTGGAAACATTATGTTTCATGAATAAAACAGGTGCATGATAGTGCTGTTTTTAGTTTTCTTTTATTTGTATTGTGTGTAACCACTTTCATTGCATAAATATGTTCATGGAATATCGAGGACCAACTGAATAGTTTTCTTGAACTTAGATGATTGTTCTCAAGGAGTCATTCCCGATATGGTTAATGCATTATATTGTGGTTCTTGTTTCAGCCTTAAAGATTAAGTCATGTAGGCAATATTTCATATACAGAACACAATATTACATAGGTTACATTTTACATAGCATCGTCAATATTGCAGCCATATCGCAATAAGAAGTTAATTATCATTAAATACCTGTTAACAAAGGAGAGTAAGCAGTTAGGTCAGTATCACAGGTTAAGTATGAAACAAACCAGAGCAAAATGAATACAGATAGTTTAAAAGATTATTTTGTATTAATTTTAGCCATGCTATAAAATACTAGCAGCCAAAGTGTTTAAGCCGTGTTCACTTCCTGCGTGATTCCCAGTTTGAAATATGCCATCACTCTGGTCCCCAATGGCTGTATGCAATAATAATCAATATTAAAAACCAAACTACAATCAAGGAATTACAGCATCAATTACAGCATCAGTTGATGTTTTTTACAGTTCAGTTAAGATGGACTAACGTGCCACTGCCAGGGGGCATTAATGTTACCTACTTAACATACTTAGCAATATTACAGCTATGTGATGGCGTGTAAGTAATCGAGTCTCCAGTGATTATCAAGTATTTGTTAACTTCACATCATCTTTGCTATTATTTGTTACTACTCTGCATATATTGGAATGGAACCCCGAAGACTGCTAGTACCTGTATAACAGCGACAAGAGGACGATTTAATGCATTGCCAAAGTACAGTTTTGATACCTATTTGGAAACACTGAATTCCTTCTAGCTTCCAACATTGCCTCTTCCGTCCCCACCCTAACCTCCCTCCGGAAGCACTGAATTCTGAAAAATATTATTCTGGTAAGTGCTTCTCGGGCCTTCTAATTCCTGCTGTTGTCACTTATTTGACCCAGGTAATGCAGGGAGATATTGTCATCATCTGGTCTGTCTGTCCATCCGTATTTCGTTTTCGGAGTATAACGTGAGCCGTGAAATATGTTTCCTCCAAACTTGGAACATGTATTAACCAGGGGCTGAAGTGGTGCCTTTTGTTATTGTGGGGTCCGGGGTGATTTGTCATCTTCTAATGTCTCTTCTTGATTATAAAGTTATGTTGTTAGATATAAGTCACTGATTTTTGTGAACTTGCGTGGTGATTTGCTGATTATAAAATTCAGATTTGTGCATACCGATTTCTTGGTCAGTATATGAGTTTAAATGAAGAAATCACAGAGGGCATATACATATATACATTATGTTTAGTCAGGTTAGCGGCAAAGTGTTTAAAGTTGTAACTTCGTGGGCGAATAGGTAACTTTCAGATTAATTCTTTCATTAAGCAAACAAACTTAAAATATATGTTATATAGAATAGTACTCCTTTTTTAAATTATTGTCGGTATTCATTGCAAATAATTACTATTAGTATGTGTCTAATTATAGCTTACCAAATGCAAAGTTGTGGTGACTCCAATAGTCAAAGGATGTGTGGCAATACATTCTGTGCAGAAAATACGACCGAAAATCTACAAAGAGTATGTTCTTCAAGTTTGGGGCACAACTGCAAAAACTGCCTTTGACATAAACGCACACGTCTCCTGATCATCCCACACGTGCTCTATGGGGGAAAGGTCAGCACTTTTTTTGTATATTTCTGAAGGTATGTAGTGAGTTACGATACGAACACGGTGGCCACAAGCGTACCCTTATTTGAAGTTAAAACGTGGGCCAGCCTGGGGCGCAAACGCCACGGCTTGGGACACCAGTAGGTCAGTATGCAGTAGTTTTCACTGACCCTTCAGAGGACAATATGCGGTGGCGTTCTGGTAGTCATAGTGATCCCATACCATGATATAACAATACATTTCCATAACCATGCTACTTCCACGTCTACCAGGAAAGTCCAGAGTGATTCTGGACTCTTCCGAAACTATTGCGCAATTCTCTTAGTGTCTACGCTCTAAACACCATTGACGTCTGTCTGTTAATGGTGGTACAACACAATGGGGCACGGTTGGCCCAGTCGTCAAAGGCGCCGCGATTTTCTGTGCAGAGTTGCGTCCCTTAGGCACGACAGAAACCTATGATTGTGGGTTCGAATCCCGGTTCGCCCCGATTATGTTTCTAGGTTTGACAGCACCATAACCGTGCTCGTGGGTTTCACCAAGGTGGTAAACCTATCAGACCTGCATCACCTCGGGCTTTCCTCCCACATTAAGCTGACACGCCGCAATATAACTGTAATACTGTTAAAAGTGGCGTTAAACCCATCTCACTCACTGGTACAACACTTGGTCGCCCTGTATTTGGCTAAGCTGCATAATTTGTGTCTGGAAAAAGAATATATGACATCTCGGTTCCCTTTCGCCGAATTTTTCCAGTTTGAATTTTTCCAGCCCTGGGGCGATTATCACGTTGTAGATGCATTCCCACTCGGACCATAAATGCTGCATTAAAAGAATGGCAGAGGGCTAAAGTCTAACTGTGTTTAAGGAAAGTCAACAAAAGTAATGAAAGAGCGATTTAACGGCCGTTCACTGAAGTGTTAAAATGAATATAAAAGCGACAAAACCATTTTCATATTCACAAGAAACATATCATGACCCTTTCATTGGAGAATATTTATGTAGATAGATAGATAGGATATGTATGTAGATACATATGTCACTTACAGGCAGTCGTCCTCAATATGGATAGAGAAAAACTGTAACTTTCTTGTTTCACATGTTGGTGCCGCGAATCCGAGCAGACATTTAAAACTGTAGCTGTCACAACTGAAGCCTCATGAGAGATCGCTTCATGTTTACAAGTTTGGCTAAGACTTTAGTCTGTGGATAAAAATGCCGATACAGACAGTTTACAGAAGCTGATTGAAGCGGTTTGCGACTTGTCTCTTATTTGATGTTATGTCTTTTGTCGTACGCCGCACTATGAACTATTTCAACTATAAATAACGAGACACTCTGCCATATTTCAGATATTTGACATTTATTGACAAGTATTATGGGTTAGACATTGGTTAGAATTTTACGCCGCAATGGCAACTGAAAAAAACAGCATAAAAACAAAATAGCCTGTCGATGTTTCAATGCTTACTGAGGTAAATAAATGTATCACTCTTGATATGTTCTCCACCTTGGTCTAATGGAAATACAACATATTTCACCAACATTAAACACAAGGCACAACATGTCTGGTGATAATCTAGCTCTTTCTGATGCTGATCTCAAACCTTTCGTGTCTTCATTACACACCCTCTGTTCTTTCTATGACTCAAACGTGGTGGGATTGGGGTCACAGGGACAGTTGGAAATAAAGAACGTTTCAACGAATTGTCGTGTGTTGTTGGTTCAGATATTCACATTTTTAAAGCAAACACAATGTGTACACATTTCGAGAATGTACCAGACATGATTTCTGAGTCGACTACAAATCTGGTACAACACTTCTCTAACAGTGAGGCATATATGGCGCAAATTACTTTACCTGAGAATTTAAGGATTATGCTCCATAATAATAGCCACTAATCGGTATAGGGTAATACACGATGGCCGTTTTGATAAAAACAACAGAAATATAACATTGCCACAACATTGTCACAACAGTTGGAAGACTGTTCGACTCTTTCGCTTACTCATATCATGAGACTGGATGGAGACGTTAACTGACTGTTGAGTCTTTTCCGTTTGTACTTACCTAATTGAGAGAACATGAGCAGTTATAAGAACCATTAGTGTTTTGTACAAAACTCGTGCGCACTCGTTGATGTCTGAAGAAAAGTTGAATTTTCTTTTTGTTAGCTCATCTGACTGTCAGTGTTCATAAACATGTTTTGACCTCTACTTATACATGTATACATATAACGGGGCAATTGCTGATTGTGCGTGATGAAAGAGGCTGTTCCTATAAGAATCCGCTGAGCTACAAGCCCTGCGTCTCTAATTCTTTGAATGTTTTCCTGGTCACAGTGGATTTAAAGTTAATGCTTAAATATTCTTCGTAAGCACAAGTTCTTAGGACTCGACTTGACTGAAAGCTAACCCATGAAAGGGCTAAGTATGGTCGCAAAATCTTTAACAAGACATTATGAACCATATGTATGGTCGGATGGTATGCTGACATGTCAAAGTGTCCTCTTGATTTCTTGGGGATATTTATGGTGATAGAGTCTTGGATGTCATGCGTACTACTTTAGCCGTTAATACCAGTGTCATACGCATGTTTCATATTAGTGAGAGATATAACATCCTATGTACGCAAGAGGGATGTTTATTTCAATAACAGTCTGTTCATGGAAATGCTGGAAAATATGATTTGGTCACAAGTTTTAGACAGACAGACAGACAATTTATTCAATAAAAGGCCACTGGCCCAAAATACATACATATACAGGAATACATAAAGCCTGCGCAAAATGACATATTTACAAACTGGGAAAATTTACATTATTTAATTTTTTTATTTATTTTTTTTACTTATTCGCAGTGGATTATTTACTATTTACCCTAAGTTGATGAGCTTTGGTAAGAAAAATAGATATTTTATATAAGGTATCATATGCATCTGAGGAAATAATAGAGATAAAGTTATCCTGAAGGTTAGAGGTAATATATTTATCTAAAAGTGCATTACGAAGGGAGCTGTAGGATTCACAAATTAATAATACATGATATTCATTTTCTAATAAAGTACTTATTTTAAGATAGACAGAGAGGGCAGAGTCTTTCTTCATATGGTGTGGCATGGTATCTTCCAGTATTTACTGCTATTGGAAAGTTACTGCATCTGAAGCGTGATAAAATCCTTTTTAAGTGAGATGGAAGTGGTGAATTTAAGTAATATTCAACATTTAGTAG